TGTATTCGTTAGCACTTTTAGTTGTAGTTTTGTCATAGACACTTTTTTTTAAATGCTGGATTTTTAAAATATTTTTCTACTTGGGTCAGATCACTCCATACCTCACTGAATCTTGCCTTTATGATCCAGCACCTTTGCTTCTTTAGTTATTCTCCTCTGGTTTACATTAAACTTACTTCGTTGTGATTATTGCTTCTCAATTCAGACAAAGAAAATATCCCTGTGGTGAATCAATTTTAAGCCTTCGTTAAAATTGCTAGAGATCTCACTATAAAATGTGGGTGTATGGCATGTTTTTTGTTTGTTGACAGGTATGTTGTCAAGGACTTGTGCTAACATCCTGAGAAAGAGAGATTGATATGTTATCTCTATGCCACCAAAATCCCTTTTATGAAGCTGTAGTTCATTAGTTCTACCAGTTGGAGGGTGACAGACTGGAGAAGATGTCTCCTTATTTTGGAAGCTCTGACCTACACGGTTCCCCTCTTCTACCAAGGTAGACAGATATTCAAGTCTCTATCAAGTTTGAAAGGCTTGGCAATTCCTATTGTTTGCTACTGGCTGTCGTGTCCATCGAGCTGACCACAAATTCTGTGGTGAATTGTAGAATAGAAAATACCAGTGACTGCCAGTTACACGCTGTGGAATACATTTCTTCACCCTCCCTGCAAAACTAGAGAAAGTGCCCAGGAAGACTGCCAAAATTCACACATCAGTTGCATCTCCAATGTTTTCCATTTCGGGGCTGGACACCAGGGTTGCACACTTCTGTCCTACTTAACAGAGCTTAGAAAGGATAGCACCTTCTGGAGTGTATTCTCCTCTGCTGTGCCTATCATCATGATCTGCTCATGTTCATGTGTCTTTATGCTTGAAGGATGCCTGACTGTCTAATTGGCATAATAAGTAACCTTATCAGTGAATCTCTGCACTGATTTCTACAATGGATGCAACATTTGACAGTGCATCCTTGGGTGGGATTAGTTCGTCTGAGGAGCCTGTGTCCTCCATAAGCAATGGTTTGTGTTCTTAATGTGAAGGATAGAAGGATAGGTAGAGTTAATCATGATAATTTTTTAAAAAATGATGCTTGGAACACTTGATTTTATTGCTAGAGGAAAAGTATTGCATCAGCTTACTGTACTGCTAGTTTTTTAGTAATGAAAGAGTTTAAGGTCAGATCAGTCAATCTGCTTGATTTAAGCTGCAATCTCACTATCATCAATGTTTGTCAGTGTTATATAGGTCATTTAACATCACTGCTCCATTTCTACTAGGGTCATAGCAATATACGTCGTCTTTCACCAGTGCTGCCTCTCCCTTCTATTTTGTTTTCTCTTCTGGAAAAATTGCTAGGACACCATTATATGTTATGGCAGGAGATGTTGACCATTTGCAATGATTAGTGTAAATTGAGGAAGGCTGTCAAGAGTAGAGGCAGGTTGAAAAACTTAGAGAAGATAGATGAGAAATTAATTCAGAGCAGCAGTGAAACGAGGAATATGGAACTTTTTTTTTAGGATGAGGTATGTGGTCATATGTTACATGTGATTGGTGAGTGCGTGAGGTGGTGTGAGGACTGGAATGAATGGTATAGGAGGGACAAGAGGGAAATAAAGTAGACCTATTACAAGAAATGGTAAAGAAGAATCTGTACCAAGCTTTCCTGAAGTTACTGAATCATTTTCAAGACTGGATCCAGGTCCTCAGTGTCATATTCCAGCTGCTGACTTTCTCTACACTCTCAACCCACATCCTAGTGGTGGAAACAGCTAGTTTTCCAACTTAACTGGAATAACTCTGTTCTAGCCCTACTGCAGCTTACAGATTAGTGTGCTAAGAGAATCTGTGGTCTACAATGTGTTTTTATTGCAGGTATGTGGAAGCTTTCCATGAGTAATGGCAACTCTTCAGGTTTCAGTCCTAGCTTACATCAGCATCCCTTGCTGGCAATGCACTGACACTTTAAGTTGAGGCTGGGGTTTCCACACAAATGTATATGTGGACAGGATACCCATAGATGTGTTAACAATCTGGGAAACCTTGAAGCCTAATAAATAGAAAAAAAAACTTTCCCATTAAAATCGACTAGGCATTCCTAATTCCTGAGTTTACCCACTTTAATCATCAAAAGCTCTATTTCCATCTCCACTTAAAATTTGATTTCAATTTATCTAACAGATTAACTGATGTAGTCATATCTGATTACATGTAAACATACAAACAGCACGAGTAGGCCTTTCAGACAATTAGATCATGGCTGATCTGACTGGAACCTCAAATTCTCATCCTTGCCTACCTGCATTTCATCTCCTTGTTTAACAAGAATCTGTCTATCTTTGCTTAAAAATATTCAAGGACTCTCCTTCAATTACCTTTTACAGGAGTTCCAAACACTCATGACTCTGAGAGAAACAAGTCACCAATTTCTATTTTAAATGGGTGGCTCCTGATTTTTGAAACAGTGACCCTTAGCTGTCAGAATCTTGTACATTTCAATCAGGTCACCTCTTAGTATTCTAAACTTCAGTGGCTACAAGTCTATCCCCTGCCCAAGCCTTCATCAAAAGAACCCAAAAATTCCACTTTTCATTTGAGTAAACAAACCTCATTTGAACTGCTTCAATGCATTTACCTCCTTCCTGAAATAGTGCGCTCTCGTCAGTGCCTCGTACAGTTGAAATATAAACTCAATATTTTTGTATCCAATTCCCCTCACAATAAATGATAACATTTTATCAGCTTTTCTAATTATTTGTTGTACTTGCATTCTAAATTTGTGATTCGTGCAGTAGCACAAACACATCTGCATCTCAGAGCTCTGCAATCTCTCACCATTTAGATGAAATGCTTATCTTTTATTCTTCCTGCCAAAGAGGACAATTTTACAATTTCCAACATCATTTTTCATATAGACTCATAGAAATGTGCAGCACACAAACAGGCCCTTCGGTCCAATTCATCTCTGCTGACCAAATATCCTAAATTAATCTAGTCCAGCATTTGGCCATATGTCTCAAAACCCTTCCTATTCATATCATCCAGATGCCTTTTAAATGTTGTAATTGCACCAGTTTCCACCACCACCTCTGGCAGCTCATTCCACACATACACCACCTTCTGCATGAAAAAGTTGCCCCTTTGGTCCCTTTTAAATCTTTCTCCTCTTACTTTAAACCTAGACTGTCTATTTTTGGACTCACCTACCCTGGGGAAAAGACCTTGGCTATTCACCCATGCATGCCCATCGTGATTTTATAAACTCCTATAAGGTCACTTCTTGGCCTCTGACGTCCCAGCCTATTTGGCCTCTCCCTATAGCTCAAACCCCATTTGTTAGATATTTGTCCAATCACTTAATTATATAGCTTTGTAGACTCTTATGTACTCTTCACAACTTACTTTTGCACTTATCTTGTGTAGTCAGCAAACGTGGCAACCATACCCTCCTTCCCTTCATCCAAGTCATTTATACACCATTCATTACATATTGCTAACCTAAAAAAGACCAACCTATGTCTACACTGCTTCCGGCTAGCCATCCAATTTTCTAACTGTAGCAATATGCTATCGCACACCCAAGCTTTTATTTTCTTTTCCTTTTAAGATCCTAGGATGAGGTCCATCAGGACTTGGGCACTTGTCAGCCTTCAGCGCCAACAGTTTGTTTAGCACCACTTCTCCTTTCCACTTCCTGATTTATCACTATTTCTGATGTTATTTGTAACTTCTCTTAATTTCATTGAAGAATGTACATAGTAATTATCTGCAACTGTGTACAATTAGATTTAACATACAAAACAATGTAGAATGCATGACATGATGTTTTAAATGTGATTTGCCATTTAAATTGGTTTTGATAACCAGTAGGGAAACATACCTGTCTTGAATGACAGAACAGATTATAGACAAGAAATGAATTTTTGTCAAGTCAAATCTGCTAGTCTATGTATGTCATAATGGTGTTACTGTAATTAACTCTAAGACTGTGTATCACAAATGGAACTCCTATTTACTTGCAACTATCGAATGCCAAGTTGCACTGGTATAACAGTTGCTCCTTGTATTCTTTGCAAATACAGAAAATATGCTGGAAGATGTATTTGCTTCTTCCCTGGTGATAATTTATATTATGTGGTCCATCAAAATGTAGCACACAATTGAATTCACAACATGTAGACCAATGAGATATGTTTAAACTTTGTCACTTCTTCAACTGTGCTTGAGAGAGTTTAAAACATTAGCAATTATTATACAAATGTCAATACAATAGGGATCTACCTCAAAAAGGATATTTCTTTCTAATTTAGGTTTTCAAACTGCACTTTCAAATTTATTTTTTACAATCATATACTTATAAATATATAAAACTAATATATTTATCAGTTTGAAGTTCCCGATGATCACAATAAAGAACACTAAAATGAACAGATACAATTTATAATCAAGTGTCACAATGGATTATTTGGGTGCAGCACTTTGGAAATAATCAAATTTCAGATGAAAGGTTAAACCAAGACTTTCTGTCCTGTGAGGTGGACATTAAAAGATCTCACAACACCATTTGAAGCACCGCAGAAGAATACAGCCAGTTTCCAGTTCAACATTTATTCCTAAACCAAATTTACTATACAGTCATTTATTTCACAAATTTGGGGATCTAGCAGTGACCAAGTTGGCTCCTGTGTTACCCTATATTACAACAGGAAATATACTTCACATATGCCTAATTGTGCCTGAAACACTTTGAGAAGTTTTGGGAATGTGAAAGGAATATACATTCCTTTATCTCTTTATTTGCAAACAAAAACTTGCTAAGACAACAAGGTGGGGTGGATAAGTGGCAGGAAGGGCACCCAGCTGGAAAAAAACTCATCAAATCCATCAAAAAAAAAGATTGTTGAAACACCAGGGTGATCAAGTGTTGTGATGCTGGTAACATGGTAAAAGCTGAAAGAGGAAGGTTTTAAAAAAAAAGAATATAACGTAATGAGATTTACCTAGTGGTTGTGAACTCCTCCTCGTCTTGAATGTCATGGGTAGGCAGGTAAAAGTGAAGTGTTTCACGGTTATTTATTTCAGTTTGCTGAAATTCTGAATCAAATGTCACAGATGAAGCAGCTGTTTCACACGGCATTTCCAATACAACTTCTTTCCTTGAAACATGGTCTTCAGCATCATGTTTAGTACGTCTATTATCTTCTCCTATTAAAATTGAACCAAAGTATCAAGTTTGGTCTAGACTCGCAGAACTATAGACTTCTCCTTGTGATATGAAAATAAGAGGATGAAGGATTATAATCAGAATTGAAGCAGGATTTGTGCTGTAGACCACTGGTTATCAAAATGGATACTCTTAATTCTTTAATTGTACCTCCACTAAATGAAAATTTGATTTCTCTTGCTGACTTTTCTAGACTATTCAGATATCAAGAGGTGAGAATAGTCAATCCTAGAATGTTTTACTTCAAATCGTGAAAAGAATTGAATGATTTCTAAATAGTTGTCAAAGCAACTTATTCCACCTTTCAATCAGATTTATGATTGATTTGCACTATATCTACAATCCATTTTCCAATGCCTTAAAAATACATTGATTTCAGTCTTAAAGCTTTCATTTGACCCAGCATTTACTTCCTTTTGGAGGAAGAACCTCACATGTCACTATTTTGAGTGTAAAATTGCATCCATTTCACTCCTAATGTTAATCTGAAGATTATGTCCTCTTATTTTGAAATGCTTCCATTTCATAAGCTCAAGGGAACAGAACAAATCTTGTTGATAACAGATCTTCTAATTTAACCCTGAAGCCTTGGTAACATTCTAGAAAGCATGTACAGTAGTCCCTCCAAGGCAGAAATAAAATTCCTAAAATGTTGTGGTCAGAACTGAACGCAATACTTCAGATGTACCATTTTTTACGATTTTAAGTAATTTATTTCCAGTTTTCTCCACCAGTAAAGCTTGATGTGCTGGTGTTGGAGGTACTGCAAGCTGTTTGATATCTTGCTCAAGTCCACAAGAACAATAGAACTCACATTCCCAGACTTTGTATATGAAATTACATAATGAATGTCAATAGGATATTAAATCATAAGAAGCATCACAGCTGAGACTGATTCAATTTTCACCCAATGTTCAAAGGTCCATTTCCCAGCTGGAATCACTACAAGTACTTGCATCATCTTCAAATATAAATAGCTTTCTAAGCTTTCTAACATCACATTTCATTCACTCCATTTGATAGTAAGAAATGGCTGAGTACATTGGATATGATAAAGGTCATGGGCCCTGACAACATCCTGGCTACAGTACTGAAAACCTACAGAACTGACCACATCTCTAGCTGAGCCATTAAGTGCAGTAATAACATGGCATCTCTCTGGCAAAATGAAATTGTCTAGGTATGTTCTATTGACAAAAGGGGAATAAAACCAAATTAAGCCAGTTACTGTCCGATCAGCCTACTCCCCATCATCAGTAAAGAAATTAAAGGCGTCATCAACAATTATATCAAACAGCACCTGCTGACCTGTAATCTTCTGATCCATGATCAGTTTAGATTTTGCCAGAACTGCTTGAGTCCAGACATCATTACAGCCTGTGTTCAAGCATAAATAAGAGCTTTATTTAGTCTAAGAATGGAGGTGAACGTTACTGTCCTTGACATCAAATCAGCATATAACTGTGTGTGGTATTCAGGAACACTAGTTAAACTAAAATCAATGGAAGTCAGGGAAAATTTTCAACTGATTTACATAAAGGAAGAATATTACAGTTGTTGGAGGTCAATCACCTCTGTGCCAGGACATCACAACAAGGGTTGCTATGAGTACCAAGTTGCCACTGACGTTTGCACCAGTCTCCATAAACGTTACCATTCGCACCATTAAAATGAAACTAAACTCAAAGCTGTAAACTTTTACAGTCACCACATTCTGTAAAATGAAAACTTGTCAATTGTACCTACGTCAGCATCAGAGGAGCAGTAAAGTTCACATTTTGGGTCGGGACCCTTCAGAAAAGACCCCACCCGAAATGTCAACTTTCCTTCTCCTCTGGTGCTGCCTGGCCTGCTACGTTCCTCCAGCTCCACACTGTTATCTCTAACTCCAGCAGCTCTTACTATCTACAATTTTTAAAAATGGTTAAGTTACAGAAAGTGAATAAGACCGATACACAGGTTTTCTGTAATTTGATTAAAAAATTAAAACTGTCTAGGCAGCTTTTTGGTATTGGCTTTATTTTTGGGCAGATTTAGAATGTTCGATCAATAAAAATGTTTTGCAAATAGCTGACTCAGCATTTGAAAACTTCATTACAGGGCAATTTACTGATCCTGTGCTCTAAGTGAAAAGCTGTGCAAAGCTTAAAATGCATCAGAGAAGTGGCACTACAGTTCAGCTGTCTGTCTGTAGGAATCCCGTTCGTCTCTAGCACTAGTCAAGCTGGGAATTGGAAATCAATTAATAATGTACTAAAACCTTCAAATATCCTATTATATACATTGCAGTTTTACATCTTGATTTGTTTCCTCTATGGTCAGCAAATATCCAAGAAACTGGCTGTCAGCAAACACTGTGCCTTTGCATTTTGACACTTGTGCAACAGGACAAACAATTGTGTTATAAATGCAAGATTTTCATTAAGATATTGTATGAAGATTGTCAGCAGGATAGTTTGTTTGGTGTTGACTCTACAGAAAACGAAGGGATACCAAGAATAATCAGCCTTTCATTCACAAAGGATGGGGTTTACCAGCTCATTGCAAATGATTAGGAACATGGGGTTAGGCGAGGTTATGCTGCAACTCTATAAAACGCTGGTTAGACCACACTTGGAATATTGTGTTCAGTTCTGGTCACCTCATTATAGGAAAGATGTGGAAGCTTTAGAGAGGGTGCAGAGGAGATTTACCAGGATGCTGCCTGGACTGGAGGGCAGGTCTTATGAGGAAAGGTTGAGGGAGCTAGGACTTTTTTCATCGGAGCGAAGAAGGATGAAAATTGGCTTGATAGAGGTGTACAATATGGTAAGAGGCAGAGATAGTGGATAGTCAGAGGCTTTATCCCAGGGCGGAAATGACTATTACGAGGCGGCATAATTTTAAGGTGATTGGAGGTAGGTATAGGGGAGATGTCAGAGGTAGGTTCTTTAAACAGAGTGGTGGGTGGATGGAATGTGCTGCCAGCAGTGGTAGTGGAGTCAGATACTTTAGAGACTTATAAGCGACTCTTGGATAGGCACTTCGAGGATAGTAAAATGTAGGGTATGCTGTGTAGTTTGATCTTAGTAGGATAATAGGTCAGCACTGAAGGGCCTCTACTGTGTTGTACTGTTCTATGGGAGGGATGGTAAAATAGCAGTGCAAGATGTAGGAAGTGAAGTTCGAAATCTTGTTACTGACAGGCCCTTCATTTCCTGAGGCTGAAACATATGGGATTCCGGCCGTTATTGTGAACCCCACGTTCTGTTGTTGCTGTAAAGTTCACCCTCTGATCTCTGAGGCCTAATGGTTTGGCCATAGCACATCTCCAATTCTTATAGTGTCTGTGGGAGGGCATTTCAACATTTGGCAACAGTTCAGAAAGGCAGGCCACAATGTTTAATTGGATATCTGTCCTGCTAATATACCACAGTGATAATTTTGTCACTTGTGCAGGGTTGGGTTATTTGTTTGGTTCCAAAAAGTGATCCATGGTGGGTTCCTGTAAAATTGTGAAGGGAGCTTTTTTTAAAAAAATTTAAGTGTTCTGCAGTGGAATATAGAGTATGAGTTTGTTAAAGTTAAGCTTCCGATTTTTTTTTTGAGTCAATATTGGTAGCAGATACCAACAGTTAACAAGCTTTTTGTTATTGATAAGTGGTGATATTCACTCTTAAAGCATCAGTTATTTGAAAACATTGGAGATTTATCCTGGTTCTTGTTCTTTTATCTCTCTGATCTCTAGGCTGGATAATAATGATCTGACTGATTCTTGCAACAAAGATCTCAGTCCACTCACCATAAATCAATCTTTATGCCTTTTCCTGTGTTACAATATGGTAAACGTAACTGAGAAATAATTCCCAGTTGAACATATTACTGGGAAATGTTGTGCTCAGTACATGTGCAGGGCCACTCTTTACTCACCTTCTTTATTTAAACCCACATTAATTGACTTCAACATAGTTTTGAATGATTATACATAAACATAATATACTGTTCATCAATAATATGCTGAATAAGTTTTTCTAGTTCATCATCTAAATTTTAAATATTGATTTCAGATTCATTCTTTGGTGAATATAGGTTATGGCATGAAAAGTTCTGAGACTTGTTTGATCCAGAAGCCACACTTCGTTGCATGTGCTGCATTTGGAAGTTGGGGGTTTGGGAGAGGTGGCCAAGCAGAACAAAAGCAAGAAAGAGAAAATCTCTATTAAATGTTTCTTTTTGAGGTGAAGCATATAGACTGTCCTATTCTGATCGGAGGAATCCAACTGGTGACTATTAGGCAAGCATACACTTATTGTTCATCCTTACAGCTTGTGCATTATGAGGGAAAAAAAAATCCAATATAATTGTGAGACATTCAGAACATGGATTTTTGTACACTGAATTCTGGAAATAATTTGCAGCAGGCAACTTTACTGCCCTAACACATTCGTTCAAGGGATTTAAGCCTAAACAGGGCTTGAATCTTTACGAAAAGAAACTTTGTCATTACAGCCACTGTGTAGAAAATTCAACATTTAGTTTAATATATAATTTAATAAAATCTAATTTAAAGCATGGTTCCCCTGGTAACAAAACACTTTTTGGCAAATAAACTTTTTAAATAAATGTTACATTGCTGGTATTACCTGTAATATAAAACATGTTGTTCTCAACTGGCATTTTGTCTTTTGGATTTGTTGATCTGGAAAGATATCTTTGAGATTCTGTTGTTGTTAGTGTACATTGCTTCTTTAATGATGCTGACATGGAACTTGCATTACCCCTTATAATTAAAACAAATGGATAGAAATTATTTATCAGGTTTTAACAATCATATGTTGCCTTCCAACAGAGGTATGTTATATTCATTTCTGCAGTTAAATGTACAAGGTAACTTGCTTCAAAACTGCCAACAATGCCCCTGTTAATTAGGTACAAAAGCCACTCGATGGTAACCCAATAAACCTATCTTCTGTGTTTTATTTGTCCCCGTGAAAATAAATATAATCTCTACCCTATTCATAATTTCGTGCACAAAAACAAGTGTCATCAATCTCTGGAGAGTGTCAGTGATTTTTTGTTTTTACATTTCTTGATTTAGATTTGACTGTACATATTTCCATGTTTTATTCACTTATCTTTAAAGCAGAAAGAAACTTGACGAGTAAGTACCATGATAAGTTACGACCACTTATAAATGCTTGATAGAAAATAGAATGTACTGCTATTGTTATTGTTTCCAAGAGGGTGCAGCCATCACTGAGAGAGAGCAATCCTTCCCAACAAATGTTGCACAATTTCCCATCCTGCAGAAGTGGTGAGAAGGGGAGCAAATTGGACGAGTTGGCCCTGGAAAGATACTTGCTCCCTTCTTGGCACCTCACTAATTAAGTGCTGGGTAAGAAGGTTCATTTGGGAATTTTCTTGACTCACCAACAATTGAGGCTGTTAATGATTGATTTAATAGTCCATTAAGGACTTCAATTTCCTGAGAAATTTCCCAAGAAAAGTGATTGGTTTCTCAACTGGGTAGCCAAGGCAAACTGCTGTGTGTTTGGAAGGGAAGGACTCCATTTACTCAAATTTGGAGGCATTGTTAAGGGAATATGAGGTAGCCTCTGAAAGCCACTGCACTGCTCTTGCCTCTGATCCCCTGATTTCTCTCTCTCTCTCTCTTTTTCTCTCTCTGTCTGTGACCTGTACCTTGTGAGAAAAAGAAAAAGACCTATCTTCTTGGCATTAGATTTTCTGAGGTGTAGACTTCACTAACAGTTTATAGGATCCAGAAGCTGCTAGTGTCTTATTGGCAGCACATTTTGGTGAGCTGGGACCTCACTATCAGGGCTGTAATTCACCAAGAATCCTGCCGGTCAGCACCGAAGCTGACTGGCATGTGATTTGGCAAGCTTTGTTAGCAGTGGATATGCCAAGTTAGTTGATACCTAACAAGCCAGCTCTCATACTACTTCTTTTGAAGAAGGTAAAATCACAGCCAAATGTAAAATGCATAGAGAATGTATGTCAATTCGAGATTAGAAAAAAGAAAGCAATATCAGTCCTTTTTTGGGAAGCTTGCATAGTGTAAGCCCTTCACTCTTCCCCCAACATTTGTTAGACTTTTACCCAAGAAAAGCAGACTAACCATATGAAAGTCAAACAAGTTAGTAGAAGTATTCCTTCCCATCCCACCTTTCCAGCCCCAAAGTTCAACAAAGATTGATCCCTACATGGACAGAACCTTTTGTAGAATCCAGCTAACAATTATACTTGTTTAATGTGTATGCAATTTTTTTGACACACACCTTTTCCTGCATTTAGTATTTGGTTCCTAAAAGATATCCATAAGTGAAATCTTCTTCATTGTTAATCTGCTTAAGCTTTTTCCTCATTGTCCTGAAATGGTCTGTTTTTGGTTTTGTATATGTAAATATAAGGTTGTACTAACTGCGATCAAATTTGCTTAAACCAAAGAATTTTACTTATGCATTACCCTGGCGATGTGTGAGGTAATTCTTCTCACATGGTCGATGTTTTCAACCCAATGCAACCATGTATTACATTCACCAGTTTATATTCTAGGTGGCTTGGTCATTGCCATTTTCCTTTGTATGAATATTTCTCACTAACCTAAAAACAGGCAGTAAAAGTGTAGAGATAGCAAAAACTGCAGATGCTTGAGTCAGGTTAACAGTGTGGAACTGGAGGAACACAGCAGGCCAAGCAGCATTAGAATAGCAGAAAAGTTGACGTTTCAGGTCCTGAGCTGAAACGTCAACTTCCCTGCTCCTCTGCGGCCTGTCTTACCGTGTTCCTCCAGTTCCACGCTGTTATCAGTAAAAGTGTAGGTTCGCCAAGCTCGAGGGCATGCAAGCAGTTCTGTAATTTGCTCATCTAGCACTGTATAACATGTCTAAGCTGCTCGTGGTTGCTTATCTAGTCAGTAATAATCTGTTACTTACAGGGTTATCTGGAACTATGGAAAGAGCCACATTAGTTGGTGATGGACATATGCCTGAAGATTTCAGGAATGAACAAGATAAATAGGGCAATCACTTACGATATCCTGGATTACTCCAACCCCACAAAATTAACTGGAATTCTCTTCTTTCTGTTGTGGTGTAGGCAATGGCAAGAAAGGTGGGAAAATATAAGGAGAATGAAAAATTCAGAAGTTCAGCATTGAGAAAATGTTTTGTGATTATCTTCCTCAGCCTTAAATGACAACTTCAAAACCTTGAAATTGAGTGGTCAGTATGTTATTTCTGTTAATTTGCAGGTCATTAAAACCCTTTCTCTTTAAATGGCACTTTCAATTTCTTCACCTTCTCCAAGAATTTAGATGGTGCACATTTCAACATGTAAATCAGAGTGGGTATCCAGTGGCAGCAGCTCTTTGAATACCTGTCCTGGCCATCAGCCAAACTATTCCTTCACAACAATGTCCCTGACATGTCATGGCCACCATCCTCATTGACCATTTGTCCCATGCAAATTGGCATTGACAAACACCAGCCTCAGTGCATCATGATGCTTTCTTTCAGACCAACTCAACGCCTTTCAACACTTGAACACTTTGTCACTGCCTTATTTCAAAGTAATGTCACTGTAATTCAGAACGACAGACTAATGTCCTGGGGACATAACTGTGAATCTTACAATGATAATGGTGAGATTTGAATTCAATTAAATAATATAGAATAAAACCTGGCCGATTTGGTGACCACGTAACCACATACGATTAGTGTAAAAATTCATATTGTTCATTAATATCCTTTAGGAAAGAAAATCTGCTACCCCCTTCTGGTTGGTCTGGCCTACATGAGACTGAAGACCTACAGCAATGCAGTTTGACTCTTAACAGTCCTATGGGCAATTATGGATGGGCAATAAATGCTGGCCTAGCAGCACCCACATTCCATGGACGCATTATAAAAAAAAAAACTTTGGAGCTCAGAGACATCTACATCTTGCATGATTCTGCCAGATAACTTTGTGTGTCAAGACATAGACATCACCACACAAGATGAATGTTATGGCTCTTAGCTTGCTTTCTTAGCAGTTACTCACTTGCATTTACTTGGTGGCTGCCAGCCTCCGTATTCTTCAAATTGGTTTTCTAGTGTTCACTCACTGACTCCAACATTGCCTGGATTGCAACGTGGGTCAAGACTAGCTTGGCCAAGTGGCATGGCCTCCTGTGGCAGGAAGAAGGATTGCTCTCCTTTCCACCAAGCTGTCCACTAGCACCTACAGGTCCCTGTCTGTGAAGAAGGGAATAAGTTTTCCTCTCCTCTGGTCACCACAGTATAGGAAGAATGTGATTGTAATCAACAGAATCACTAGGATGTTGCCTGGGATGCAGCACTTCAGCTATAAAGAGAGGCTGGCTAAGCTTGGGTTGTTTTCTTTGGAGCAGAAAAGATTGAAGGGGGACCTGAAGGAGATGTGCAAGATTATGAGGGGCATGGACAGGATGAATAGAAAGCAGCTGTTCCCCTTAGTTGAAGGGTCAACAACAAGGGGCCATAACTTTAAAATGAAAGACAGGAGGTTTAGAGTGGATTTGAAGAAAAACTTTATCATCCAGAGGGTAGTGGGGGTCTGGAATACACTGCTTAGGAGGGTAGTTGAGGCAGGAAACCTCAGTCTTTAAAAGGTGCTTGGATGAGCACTTAAAGTGTCATAACGTTCAAGTCCATGGGCCCTCTGTGGGAAAGGATGAATGTAGGTGGTAACATATTTTTGACAGTACAGACTTGATGAGCTGAAGGACCTCTTCTGTATGGTATGATTCTATGACTATTCCTACTTGCAGTGTCTTTAGTAGTGTGCAGCTGGGCTTTATATATGACAACAGAAATGTAAATGATGATGGAAAGTCCTGGCAGTAGTAAGAATTTCTGCCTCCCCTGCCTTGTGATTCCCTGAGAAAGGGCCCTTACAGCCCAGCTGCATAATTAATGAGGTGAAGAGCAGAAAGTTGCACGATAAAATTTTGAGTCATGAATCTGGTCAATAAAATACTTTTAACTGAAAATTCAAAAATTCTGCCAAGAGTTTTACATTTCATTTTCACAAAATAGGTTGACTGCATTGATCACTTACCATGCTGTTACTTTACGTAAATTTAGTTGAGAAGAATCAGGAGGCTGTTTAAGAGATGGGTTTTGGTCTGTTGCTTTAATGTCATACTTGTTCTTAATGGCAACTTTAAAGACTGTTGGCTTGATCGGTTCCAAGCTCTGCACACACTTTACTGAAGAATTTAACTGGTTCTATAAAGGGAAAGAAAATTACCTACTAAGTCTTGCTAATACCAGAAGTCAAACGATACCAGGTTATAGTCCAACAGGTTTATTTGAAATCACAAGCTTTGGGAGTGCTGCAAAGGTGAAGTGGATGCAAATATTAATGCAAATTATACCTGCCTGAATGTTCTGAAATTTTGCTGCCTGACCAACATTTAACTGGCATCTTTCCATTATAATCCAATGCTACACTCAAACCAAAATGATGGGTTTTCAAATTGGCACAATGAATAATAAAATATAATTTTGCCACAAAATTCTATTTTTAGCTTGTTTTCATATGTATGTGGTGAAGATGGTAAGAATCATATTATATGGATAGGGCGTTTTCATGATACTCAACTTATTCTTCTGTCATTAATTAAAAGTTTTTGATTTTATTACAAAAAAACCGCAACAATGTTTTTAGTCTTATTCAGAAAACATTTCTTAGTAAGCTGCACTTCTAATGAAAAACACAGACAATGAAACCAAAAACCAAATTTACTGTTTTTTTTTTACAGATTAAAGCTGACACTTCAAGGCAAACTAGTGAATGAGCAGACATATAGTATGCTAGGAGCAGTACCTAGGTACACCTAAAATGAGGTGCCCACTTGGTGAAGCTATAATACTACAACCAGTAGAAGCAGCAAGCTTTTGACAGACCCTAAATGATCCCATAACCAGCAGACCAGATCAAAGCTCTGCAGTTCTGTCACATCCAGTTGTAAATAGTAATGGATAGTTGGACAACTTTCAGGAGGAAGTTCTTGAAAACATTCCCATCGTTCATTACGTGGGAGTTAAGCAAATACAAAAAACAAGAATAAAATATTTGCAAAGTCTTCACCCAGAAGTGCAAAGTGAATGATTGATTCATTTTGGCCCCTTCTGAGGTCCCAGCATCACAAATACCAGTCTTCAAACACTTTGCCTCGATGTGATATTAAGAAACAGCTGAAGGCGCTAGATACAAAGTCTGTGGCCCTGACAATAACCAGCTGTAAAACAAAAGATGTGCTCCAGAACTAGCCACTTCCCTAGGCAAACTGTTCCAGTACAGCTAAACCTGGCAATATGGAAAATTGAGCATGTAAGTCTTGTCCAGAAAAAGCATATCAAGTCTAAAGCAGTCAATTACAGCTTCCTTAGTCAACTCCCAATTATAACAAAGGAAAGGAAGTGATATTGACAGCACTATCAATCTGCACTTGCTCAAGAACAACTTAGCTCATTGATGCTCCTTTTTGGCTCCATCTGAGTGATTGAGCTCCAGATCTCGTTACACCCTTGCTCTACATATGGACAGAAGAGCTGAACTACACAGGTGAAGTGAGAATGAATGCTCTTGATATCAAACCAGCAATTGACTGAGTCTGTAATTGAGGGCCCCAGGCAAAATTGATGACAATGGGAGTTGGGAGAAAGCTTCTCACTGGCTGAAGTTAGACCAAACATAAAAAGAGACAGTTAAAGTTGTTGTAGGCCAATTATCTAAGCCCAACAATATTACGCTGATGTGACAACAAGAACTGCCGATGATGGAGTCTGAGATAACACAGTGTGGAGCTGGAGGAATGCAGCAGGCCAGGCAGCATGAGAGGAGGAGGAAAGCTGATGTTTCAGGTCTGGACCCTTCTTCAGAAATGGGGGAGGGGAAGGGGGCTCTGAAATAAATGGGGAGGGGGGTTGGGCTGGGAAAGGTAGGTGGGATGGTGATAGCAGGTAGGTAGTGGTGGGGATTGGTCAATGAAGTGGGAGCAGCGGATAGGTGGGAGCATCCTGATTCATCTCTTCCAGTAATGTCCTAGACTCAGTAATCTTCAACGGTGAATCACTTAGGTTTTTCTCCACAGCAAAGTCAGAAGCAGGAATATTCAATGATAATTGCACAGTTTTCAGCCCCATTGATAGAGCTGTCACTGTCTGTTTGCCATTCAGCAGCATAACTATCGATTGAAATTGTGACCATAGATATCCTGGGGTTCTCATCAACCAGAAACTGAACTGGACTATTCATATAAATATTATTGCCACAATAGGAGATCAGAGGTTATGAATTCCTAACAAGCATTTCCTCTACTTATTTTACTGGCTGTGCAGGCCTTCAAGGCCCCTACACCATAGTGACTTCTGGAAATCAATGCTGTGATCGACGTACGGACACCGATCACCATGTGTGGAACATTGGAGTGGCTGCATCCGCATGTAGCCGCATACTTTAGAGGGAACGTTGCTTCTGACTGCTCAAAACCAATTCAACATTGATAAGTGACAAGTCAGTGTTATGACAACTACTGAAAACAACAAGTGCTGGACATCACAGCAGGTCAGGCAGCATCCATGGCGAGGGAGCAAGCTAACATTTCGAGTCTAGATGACGCTTCATCAGAGCTGCTCTTCATCTGCTTGGATGAGTGCAGCTCCAACAACACTAGAGAAGCTTAATACCATCCACGACAAACTAGTTCATTTGATCAGCACTCCACACACCATCTTAAACATTCACTCCCTCCACTACCAGCGCACAGTGGCAGTAGTCTGTATCAAGTATGAGAGTGATAAAGGGTTATAACATATTATAGCAAATGTTTTATTAATCGGCACCTGTGGGACCAGGAGTTTGCCAGTTGATCAAATATTCTGGATAATCAAGAGGTCCACATAATCAATGTAAAAACACACACTAAGTAATAGAAATGTAATTCGGGGGTACATACATCACTGTTACACTTTATTTGCAACATAAACTACTTAAATAATAATGTAACTTTGCCTTAAATAAAACTTACCGGCAGAGAGCCTTCTCAATCTCACCTTCACCTGACGACTCGAATATCACGGTAGATTGCGGTATTTGAGGAGAAAATGAACCAACTGTTGATATTTCATGTGGCCATTCAATTGAACAAGTAATATTTATGTGGAGATAAATGAACTAAAAAGCTATAATAATAGATTTTGGCCTTAATTCTGTGAAAGTGATTTCTTCTTTTTAAAAGAGAAGGCTATTTTTGAACAGTAAGTTCAAATCTCATTTCCAAGAAAGCATGTGGCTTAAACTTTTTTACACAGAGGGTGGTACACATACGGAATGAGCTGCCAGAGGAAGTGGTTCAGGCAGGTACATTAACAACATTTATAAGGTATTTGGACGAATACACAGATAGGCAAGGTTTAGAAGGATACGGGCCAAGTGCAGGGAAATGGGATTAGCGTGGATGGACATTTTGGTCGGCATGGACCAGTTTGGGCCAAAGGGCCAGTCTTTGTGCTGTAGGACTGTAGGACTCTATGACTCTATGACAAAATAGCTCTCTTAATTGGCACCACATTCACAAGCATTGATTCCTTTCACTACCGATCACATTGGCAGCAGCATGTAGAAGATAAACAAAATGCAGTGCAGAAAATCACCCAGCTTTTAGACAGCACCTTTTAACCCTGAGGTACTACCATCTAGAAGGATAAGGAAGATATATGGGAACTCCACCACTAGCAATTTCCCTCCAAGCACTCACCACCCTGATTTGGAAATCTATCACCATCCTCTTTGTGTTTTCTAACTGAGTATCAGCAATAAATGCTGGCTGAGCCAGCAATCCCATATCCTATGAATAAAGAAAAAATGTATCACTCCTATCTTAACTCTTTTTAATTTCTTACTTAACTGACAAAGTTGCAAGCATTTCCTTTCCGTGATTTGGCCCTTTGGCCCAAACTGGTCCATGCCGACCAAAGTGTCCATCCACGCTTTTCCCATTTCCCTGCACTTGGCCCACATCCTTCTAAACCTTTCCGATCTGTGTATTTGTCCAAATGCCTTTAAATGTTGTTAATGTACCTGCCTCAATCACTTCTGCTGGCAACACCTTCCAAATGCCTACTACCCTTTGTGTAAAAAAGTTGCCCCTCAGGTTCCTATGCATTCTTTACCCTCTTACCTTAAACTGATGTCCTCTAGCCCTCGATTCCCGAACCCTGGGAAAAAGACTGAGTGCATTCACCCTATCCATGCCTCTCATGATCTAATACACTTCTATAAGATACCCCCTCAGTCTCCTATGCTCTAAAGAAAAAAGTCCTAGGTGGTCCAACCTCTCTCTGTAACTCAGTCCCTTGAGTCCTGGCAAAATTCTTGTAAACTTCTTCACTCTTTCCAGTTTAATAATATCCTTCCTATAGCAAGACCAAAACTGAACACAATACTCCAAGTGCGGCCTCACCAATGTCCTGTACAACTGCAACACAACTTCCCAACTTCTGTATTCAATGCCATGACTGATGAAGGCCGATGTGCCAAAAGCCTTCTTCACTGCCCTGTCTACCTGTGATTTCACTTTCAGAGAACCATGCACCTGAACTCCAAGGTCCCTCCGTTCCACTCCTTAAGGCCTTACCATTCACCGTGAAACTCCTACCTTGATTTGACTTTCCAAAATGCAACACCTCACACTTATCTGTATAAAACTCCATTTGCCATTTCTTGGCCCACTTCCCCAGCTGATCAAGATCCTGCTGCAATTTCTGATAGCCTTCCTCACTCTCCACGATACTGCCTATTTGGATTTGACCGAGTGTGGCATCAAGGAGCCCTAGCAAAACTGGAATCAATGGGTATCAGGGGGCAAATGCTCTGGTGGTTGGAGTCATACCTGATACATAGGAAGATGGTCATGGTTGTGGGATGTCAATCATCTCAGCTCCAGAACATCTGTGCAGGAGTTCCTCAGAGTAGTGTCCTAGGTCCAACCATCTTCAGCTGCTTCATCAATGACCTTCCCTCCATCAGAAGGTCAGAAGTGGTGATGTTCGCCGATGATTGCACAATGTTCAGCACCATTCATGACTCCTCAGGTACTGAAGCAGTCCATGTTCACATGCACCAAGATCTGGACAATATCCAGGCTTGGGCTGACAAGTGGCAAGTGACATTCATGCCACACAAATGCCAGGCTATGACCATCACCAATAAGAGACAATCTAACCACCGCCCCTTGACATTCAATGGTGTTACCATCACTGAATCCCCCACTATCAACATCCTGGTGGTTACCATTGACCAGAAACTCCACTGGACTCACCACATTAACAGAGTGGCTACAAGATCAGGCAAAAAACTGGGAATACTGTGGCGAGTAACTCACCTCCTGACTCCTCAAAGACTGTCCACCATCTACAAGGCACAAGTCAGGAGTGTGATGGAATACTCCCCACTTGCCTGGATGAGTGCAGCCCCAACAACACTCAAGAATCTTGACACCATCCAGGACAAAGCAGCCCGCTTGATTGGCACCACATCCACAAGCATTCACTCCCTCCACTACTGACTCTCAGTAGCAGCAGTGTGTACTATCTACAAGATGCAGTGCAGAAATTCACCAAAGATGCTAGACGACACCTGTCCATCTAGAAGGACAAGGTCGGCAGATATTTGGGAACACCACCACCTCCAAGTTCTCCTCCAAGTCACTCACCATCCTGACTTGGTAATATATCGCTGTTCCTTCATTGTCGCTGGGTCAAAATCCTGGAATTCCCTCCCTAATAGCATTGTGGGTCAACCCACAGCTGGAGGACTGCAGCGGTTCAAGAAGGCTGCTCACCACCACCATCTCAAGGGCAACTAGGGATGGGCAAGAAATGCTGGCCAGCCAGTGATGCCCACATCCCACAAATGAATAACAAAAAAAAATTTGTCCTGGATTCTTATCAAGCTTCTTCACTGGGATTGTATTAAAGGATATTACTAGGAAAAGATTATTTTTCTTTCCAAATTGTCTTTTATATGTACTATATATTATATATATATTTCTTTTCTGTAATAAACTACTGTTCTTTTGTTAAGACGAGATTTGCAGTATCATATAAATATGTTCAGAAACTGACAACCATAGTAACCAAACTGCAAAAATAAAACGTATGATGGAATAAGCCAGGTCTCACTCTGAGATATGACTTGTCCAATATTACCATAAGCTGAAATCATAATATAAGATACGCTGTGACAACGTATCAAGCCTTCTTCAATTGCAAATATCAATTTCACAACATCCACCACCTAGAAGGCCGAGCAGCAGATGTATAGGAACATCACCACCTTTCGGGGCCATGAAGATTTGTTATTTTTCATTACCCTTTTGAAATAAAAAATAAAAGTTAATTCAAACCGATTGGGAATTTCCCAAAGATGCTCGTATCCTAAAGTAATGAAGGTGTTTGATTTTAAAATTAGAAATTAACTTCATGACCTACACTGTTGTTTACGTTTGGCAGGATGCTAGCATGCCATGTTGTGCTTGCATGAGGAATATACTGAGTTCGTTGTTCATGGTGTCAACAACCTTTCAGGTTGATTTGATATATATTCTGCAAACCTAGCTCACACAAATGCACTTAACAACCTCTCCAAGTCACTCAAAGGGGAATGTGCATTCAGTCTCAGGAAGGATTCACACCATTGATATGGTTACCCATTGAAATGATAGGTAAAGGGTGCTTTTGACTTTCTTTTTAGCTCTTGCAAAGTCTGGGGAAGTACTGTGATGTGAATTGAAGGAGTATTGGTGCTTGGTTGGTTTTAGATGGTTGTGTTGCTGCATCCTGATTGGAGGTCAGAGGAATTTTGTGACCTGTCCTCACTGAGGCTGCTATAGTTGAGGGACCTGGGTCTGCAATACCACAATAAGATTTCTGTAGCTGAGGCTACAGAAATGGGAGCTTTTGTGGAGAGGGAGGAGGAAGCAGGCTTTCCTTGAAGGCCCTATCCATCAAAGGGCTTCAGGAAGCATGTCTCATACCGCTGCCTCAGCTAGGAGCAACGTTTGAGACACTTGTGATTCGCCAGAGGTGGTCACAGAACCATCCTACTTTCGTCAAAACATTTCACAATTTTGTCATTGATCGCACTAGCCAAAAGATGATGGAGGTTCAGTGTGCCAGAACCATGGCACCTTCTCTTTATATTCATAGAGAATTAGGAGTGAGCACATCTTTGCCATTGGTGTGGACAGCTATCCACACATTATTCCCTCACACGAACAGGGGAGATTACAAAGGCTTCCACTTCATTATAGTGTAGTTTGTGTGTGACCACGCCCAGTCCAAGATGGTGAAAGGCACTATATCAATGCAAGTCAACATACAAGACTAAAGTGCTGGCAAGTAGGAAAACTACCAATTTTTATTGAGAATGGGGATTAAATACGAAGGATTGGAGTCGCGTGCGAACTATTCCATTTCCGGGAACTCGTGTATACCTGCTTTTGCTGCGCTGCCGGATTCCCCCGAACTCTTCGGTCGTTCAGTAACGTTCTCCGTCTCTGATTAATATCTGTGCATTTTTCCATCTGATTTTTCTCTCGAGGGAAAACTGTTTACATTTATCCAGCCGAGCTCTTGCTGCCCGAATAGCTGATTCCTCCCATATGTTCGTTTACAGAATTCGCGCGAGCGTGTTCCGTCGTCATGGCAACCACGCTCGCGCTTATTAACGGACTCACGGCTTCGCTCAATGTTTACTCTAAACAGAACCGGTCAGTTTGTCATATGCAAAATGACCCGCGCATTTCTTGGCATGGCGATTTGTGTATCGAAGATGTAAGTTTTCAATTTAAAACTGATACAGAAAATATGTTTGGGTGAACTTGCTTTCACTGCTATGATAGAAACCCCTTCCCCTCTACCCTCCACATTTTGCTGATCCATTAGCTAAATCTTCTGTATCACCAAATCTGTACCGCAAAAGACCATCGCAATTTTCAAGTAGATATGGAAAGTAGAACTGTAATTATACTTTTGTGAATAAATAAATTGTGGTTCAGCCATGATGTCCATATCCCATGACTGAATTTTAAAAATTCTATTTGAAGACCTGCCTGAAAATTCAGTAATTTCACCAGAGCATTTGTATGTAAGTGCGTTTTTTGTAAGGAACTTGAAGCAAAGTACCACAATGATTGGTCCAACTGCTTTAATGCCTTGATTCAATGCTGAGATATCAGAGAAAATGTTTTAGAATTAGAAATTTTTAGAATTAATATTAGATTTTATTGTCACGTGTACTGAATTTCACTGCAACTGAATCAGTAAGCAGTCCCCACCAGTTTTCCCTTTGCTGGTCATCTGTAATTCAGGTGAGAAATTGGAAGAAAGTAGCTAAAAAAGTTTAATCTGGAGGTTCTCCTCTTTAAAAAAAATTAAGTGACATAATTTACACCATTACTTACTAAGACTTTATCAGCATTGGGGTACTACTTAAACTCGTTTCATTGTAATCATCAATTCTGAATGCTGTACTGTGCTCCTGCGCTGTAAACCTTGTTGTATGTATCACTGGGGACAAAAAAAAAGCAGTCAAATTTCTGTCATACTTGCATTACAGATATGGCCACTAACATATTGATCTGACATGCTATTGAATTGAACTTTGGGAAACAACTAACATGACAACTAACATGAGCTTTGAACCGGTACATAACCAGCAGTTTCTTCACAGAAATCATGAAAAGCAACTCCAGGTATGAATGTGGACATTGTATTTGACTATCTTCAGAATATTTATTTTAAAAAGACTGTTTAGATTAGGAGATTGAAAAAAGTAAATCCCCAAAAATCATCTAAGGTCTTTCATTTTAAACGGCAAAAACTTCAATATTCTGGAAATTTAATCCCAGCCCTTATTTATAATATAAATTATTTGTATACTGAGAATGTCCTTCCACCAGAGCATTTGTATGTAAGTGTGTTTTATGTAAGGAACTTGAAACAAAAGTACCACATTGATTGGTCCAACTGCTTTAATGCCTTGATTCAATGCTGAGATATCAGAGAAAATGTTTTAGAATTAGAAATCTTTAGAATTAATATTAGATTTTATTGTCACGTGTACTCAAGTACAGGATACAGGAATAGTGAAAAGTGTACAAAGTCACCACTTCTAGCACCATCTTAGATACAATGGTATGTAGGTACAAAAACTTAGGTAGAAAAATAGTAGAAAAATAAGGAAATAAACTTAAAAGTTTAACAATAAAGTCATTTTTAGTGTAAAGTAGAAAAATAAAGAAATAATGTTAGAAGTTCAACATTACAGAGCTTAAGTGCTTAGCCATGTTGGACTCACACTCTCCACTAAAGGGTTCAATCTCCTCCATGCTGGGCTCAGTCTCTTCCACACTTGTGACTGCATGTGAGATCTTTTTAAGTAACACTTGGAAATAAAATCTTCTTTGGTGTTATGCCCTATTCTTCCGAGAGTGTGAATAACGATCAATGCTTTGTCAAAATATCAAAACTGATATCTTTATAAGTCAAGCTGTCTATGTAATTTTTCAATAGAAATCCTTGCTGAAATTAATTTCTGGTGCAAGTAGAAACATTTAACATGACCAGTTTTGAGATTTGAACCGGTGCATAACCAGGTAGCCTTTACAGAAAGGTGCAAAATGTATAACTGTTGCTGATTTTTAAATTACCTGAACTTTAGGTTCAAAAGTAATATTTTTTCCTCAGATCAAGATTTGAAATATGCTAGTGAAATAATTTGGGTAACAAACAATTGTTTATTCTTCTGGATTTTGTTGAAATGGAATTTACAGGTTTGACCTTTTGAAAACTCTAGATGAGTAACTTTCACATTTTACATAATTGAATATTATAAGTGGAGAGCAATTCAACAAGTAAATTAGAGGAGGAATTTGATTATTATTGATTTCTCTAACCAGTAACTGGGCTTTTCATAGAATCCCTACAGTGTGGAATCCAAACCAACCCTCCAAAGATCATCCCATCCAGACCCACCCCCTACCCTAACACTGCATTTCCCATGGTTAATGCACCTAACCTACACATCCCTGGACACAATGGGGCAATTTAGCAGGACCAATCCACCCAACCTGCACATCTTAGGTCTGTGGGGGGAAACCAGAGCACCTACTGGAAACCCATGTAGACACAAGGACAACATACAATCTCTAAACAGACAGCTGCCCAAAGGTGGATTTGAACTTGGGCCTCATCAGTCTGAGGCAGTAGTGCTAACCACTGAGCTATTGTGCCAACCAAAGCTCAAGTTACTCTGGAAAGGCAAAATATCTCAAAAATTGAACGATAGGTTACACAAGTATACCATGTTGCTACTGTGTATTGGTATTTTTGAGTGGTAATTTCTATTAGTAGGGTACTGTTAAGAAATTCTGCCTACACACTACTGAGCAATGTTGTGCATGAGTTTTAGTGCCAATGTAGTTCCGGTTGGGAAGCCAGTATGTGACAATTGGCTGATTGAATCAAACAACATGTACTTTCAGTTGTTTGTGGTAGGCTGAATACAGACCATACTCGTGACTTCATGTGAGATCTCTTTAGGTAATATCTGGAAATAAAATCTTCTTTTGGTGTTGTGCCCTATTCTTTTTAGAGTGCAAATAGCTGTCAATGCTTCATCAAAATGGTAATTCTTCATTTGTTAGTCGAGATGATAATTGGTAGGCTGATCAACTGTGGAAGGCAACCCAATTCCTCTGCCTCCGCCACGTCTGCTCGCAAGATGGGGCGATCCACTCCTGAACATCCCAAATATCCTCTTATTTCAAGGACCACAACTTCCCCACTTCAGTGGTCGAAAATGCTCTCGACCGCACCTCTGCGCTCACATCCCCTCCCCGCAACAAAAACAAAGACAGAATCGCTCTTGTCCTCATGTATCACCCCATAAACCTCCGGATTCAACGTATCATTCTCTGCCATTCCGCACCTGCAATCTGACCCCACAACCAAAGATATATTTTCCTCCCCACCCCTATCTGCCTTCCGTCGGGACTGTGCTCTCTGCGACTCCACACTTCCCACTAGCCCCACCACCCCTGGCACCTTTCCCTGCAACCGCAGGAAGTGCTACACCTGCCCCTACACCTACCCCCTCACCTCCATCCAAGGAACCAAAAAGCCTTCCACATCAGACAGATGTTCATCTGCACATCCGCTAATGTGGTCGACTGCATCCACTGCTCCCGATGTGGCTACAACTTGTAGCCTTTACTGAAAGATGCAAAATATATAATTGTTGCTGTTTTTTAAATTACCTGAATTCTAGGTTCAAATTAAATTATGCCATGACTGATATCTTTATAAATCAAGCTGGCTATGTAATTTATCAATAGGAACTTGCTATTAGATGTGATTCCATAATTGGGCAGCACTAACTGAACATTGTTGTGTGTACCAATAGCTGTACTGACAAACAATTTAAGATAATCAGTTGAACCCTGTAACTTTACGTTAGACTACATAATTTGGCACAATGTTTGACCTTATGATGAATGAGCTTGCGGCACGGTAGCTCAGTGGTTGGCACCGCTATTTCACAACGCCAGGGACCCGGGTTTGATTCCAGCCTTGGGCGACTGTCTGTGTTGAGTTTGCACATTCTCCCTGTGTCTGCATGGGCTTCATCCCACGGTCCTAAGATGTGCAGGGTATGTGGATTGGCCATGCTAAATTGCCCATAGTGTCCAGGGATGTTTAGGTTAGGTGGGTTAGACATGGGGAAATGCAGGGTAGGGGAATAGGTCTGGGTGGAATGCTCTTCCAAAGGGTGGTGTGGAGTTGTTGAGCTGAATGGCCTGTTTCCACACTGTAGGGATTCTTTTTCTTCTTCTTTGCACCAGGAGTGCCTATTTCCAGCTCTGTAACATTCCTCTAGTTCTACCTCTGCCTCAGCTCATCTGCACCTGAAACACTCAACAATGCTTTCATTAACTCTAGACTTGATAGTTCTAGTACACTCTCAGCTGATGGACCGTGATTTGCCCTCCACAATGACCTCCATCATCCAAAAAGGTAATCCAAAATGCTGCTGCCCTTGTACTTACTTTCACTGAATCCATTCTTTAATCACCCTGGCCTTGCTGACTTTCACTAGCTCTACTTAACCTGCTGGTGGATTGTAGTAAATCCATTAGACTGATAATCCAGTGACCAAGGCTATTGCTCTGGGAACATAGGTTCAAATCCATTGCATATGGTGAAATTTAAATTCACATAATAAATCTGAATTATAAAGCCAGATATATGGCGAACATGAAACCATTTTTGAAGTTTGGGAATGAGGTCGGCGTGGACTAGTTGGATCGAAGTGACTGCTTCCACGCTGTATAACTGTATGACTATGATTGTTACATACAGTGATTTGATATGATTTGATTTATCTATTGTCACGTGTATTTTGTTACAAAAGTGAAAAGTGTTGCATTGTGTCACCACTGTCTGGCGCCATCTTAAAACACAGAAAAATAAGCCAAAACGTAGAATATAAAAGCAGAAAAATAAAGAAATAAAGAAGAAGTGTTTGACTTTACAGTCCTTCTTGTTAAGTGCTCTGGCGTGGTCCTGGTGGCCAGGCATGAGTATCCTATCCAGTCCTGATGAAGGTTCTTGGCCCGAAAGGTCGACTTCTTGCTCCCCTGATGCTGCGTGATCTGCTGTGTTTCTCCAGCTCCACATTGCATCGACTCTGACTCCAGCGTCTGCAGTTCTTGCTCTCTCCGAATGACTTATAACCCCACTGCGAAGCCTCTTCCAGGGATGGCCACCTTGAAGAAGTTGTCCTCCTCCCTCTGGAAAGACCTCAGTGGGAGTCCTGATGAAGGGTTGAGGCCTGAAATGTCAACTCTCCTGCTCCTCTGATGCTGCCTGATCTGCTGTATTCCTCAGCTCCACACTGTATCAACTCTGACTCCAGCATCTGCAGTTCTTTTTCCTTTGAGTATCTTTTGCTGTGCCACTGCCACTGGAACAAAAGTCACCAATCTTTGGCGCCATTTCGTTTCCAGCGAAGCCCTCATCACTGTGAGTCCTTACTGGACCTCCCCTATGCAGGTGTTGCCGATGCCACTGGGTACCACACAGGCCAAACTCAACTCAGCTGCCACCATGAGTCTGTTTCAGGCCCACTACACTGATGCATCTGCTGCCAATGCCACTAGGTCTTGTACTGGGCCCAAACTCACCTCCACTGCCACCTTCATGAATCTGCACTAGCTGCTGACACTGCCCAGAACACAAACTCGCTTCTGCCGCAGCAGCTATGAGTCAGCATTAGAACCGCCTTGTCAATGCAGAATCCATTGGGAACCCAAACTTGCCTCTGATGCCAAGAGTCTGTGCAGGACCCATTTGCTGCCACCGATGCTGTCACCACAACAAGAAGTAGAAGATAAAACAGAAAAAGAGAGAGAAAAAAATAAAAGAAATGAAAAGGAAAGCACATGAGAACTTTCTTCAGATAGAGCATCACCTTCAGCATCCTATAGTATGGCACTGCCCCATTGGTAAAACTACACAGGCAGGATTTCTTTGTGACCAATCACCAGGACGAGGAGAGATTGCACAAATATTCCCATCCACAATGATAGAAGAACCAGTACATAGGTGCAAAAGAAGTCTTTGCACCATTTTCAGTCAGAGTTGTTGAGTGAATGATTCATCTTGGCCTCCTACTGGGAAGTCCAGTATTACGAATGCCAATTCACTTCATTCCATATGACATCAAGAAATTATTAAAACCACTAGATACTGCAAAAGCTATGGGCAGTGACAACATTCAGGCAATGGTACTGAAGACATGGGCTCCAGGACGAGCTGCGCCCCTAACCAAGTTGTTCCAACACAGCTACAACATTGACATAAACATGACAATGTGGAAAATTGTTTGGGTATGGTCTATTGACAAGAAGTGGGACAAATTCCAACCCAGCCAATTACTGCCCAATCAGTCTAGCCTCGATCATTCGCAAAAGTATAAACTTATATCCTGAGGGCTGCAATGGTTCAAGAAGGCAGCTCACCACAATTTCTTAAGGGTAATTAGGGATGGGCAGTAAATACTGGCCTAGCCAGTAATGTTCACATGCTTTAAGCAAACAAAAAACACCTTTGTTTTTGAATCTCTCCATGTCTACTCCACTCCCAATCTCCCATGTGCCTAACCCTAGAGAGCAGCGCATTCTAGAACTGGATAAGTGTTATGAAATAGAAGTAATTAATGACCTTATATTGAAGGCACCACAAAAGTAACAGTGATCATAACATAATTTACTTTCATCTTCAGTTCAAGGGAGAGAGGACCAAGTGGATGACTAATGCCTTAAACTTAAATGAAGACATTTATGAGCGTATGAAGAGAGCTGTTTAAAGTGAACTGAAAGATTAGGTTAGGGATAGGTCAAAAGAGATGCAATAGAAGACATTTTAAAGATATTTTGTAACATTCCAGTGAGAAAGAAGGACTCCAGGAAAAGGATGAATTGTTAAGAAATTTCAAGCGAATATCAAATTAGAAGACAAAGAATACAGTTGCATGAAGAATATTGGCAGGTCAGAAGATTGGACATAATATATAAAGTAGAAAAAAAAAGGCTAAAAAGGAAAATAAATTAAAATTCAAGAGAAAGTTAGCTATAAGTATAAAAAGAAAGTAAGTTTCTACAGAATAAGAAAAGTCTCTGTCCATTGGAGTGAGATTCTAAGAATTAATAATGGGAAATAAAGAAAGAGCAGAAGCAATGAACAGATATTTTGGGTGGAATCTTGTAGTGACCTGAATGACCTGGGCTATAGCGCGATTTGTGGCAAAATCAGATAAGAAGTGCAGCAAGGTCTATCTCAATGTTGAGAGCAACTCATGACATTTTCATGCATTTGCCAAGTGGTGAGGCAAACTTTTCATAGACGTTTGTAGGTTGCCAATTAAGGGGCATTATAACTTGTTAAATACCTTGTTATGGCCACAACTCACCCTATAATATTCAGCTTCCTGTATTACCATATATCTTGAGCTGGCTAGATGTCAGAGCAAGTGGCAACAAGGAGCTTTTATTTTGTTCAGCACCAAACAGCACTCCAGGGCATGATGCATGGTCATGAGCCATATGCAACCTTCATCCACGAACATTGTCATAAAAACATAGAAAATAGGAGCAAGAGTGGGCAATACAGTCTTTCAAGCCTGCTGTGCCATTCAGTATGATCATATCTGATAATCCACCCCCTTGTTCCTGCTTTCTCTGCATACCCTTTAGCCCTAAGAATTGTATCTAATACCCTCTTGAAAACATTCATAGACTTACCACTCTCAGGGTGAATAAACTTCTCATGTCAGTCCAAAAGACCTTCGCCACATTCATATTTGCCAACATCTCGTCGTCCTCCTGATACCTTCTGATTCACTTGCAGGCTACTTAGGAAGCACAGAATTGTATTGCAGGGCGAAACTAGTATTCAAAGGCTGCTGCAAGGACACTTTGCACATATGAACAAGCACGCAGCTCGCAGACTGCACCAGACTGCATGTCATGGCTGTTCGTTATCTCTCTTAGTGATCACTCGCTTAGCATTTACCTGCATGTTTGCAGTATCAATGCCCTACCTTGCTTTGTCATGTCTAATAGTGCAGTCAAACAACCAGCCAACTTGCCTTGTTGGTCAGCAGTCCTCATTCAAGGATGCATACATCTTGCTTATGATATTGTACTACGCCATTCTCATGACTGCTCAATGTGCAGGGTACAGTTGAATGTGTCCTTGCAATCTGGGGAGTAGGTCATGGCCAGTACTGTAGCTCCTTAGTGGCCAGTTCAGGGGATACAACTAATGGGTCGGGGAGAAGTACTAGCATCACTTATGGGTCTGGTCACTTTTTGTCCATGGCTTGACCAGTTATATCGCTCAGGGAATGGGTCTCAGTTGGTCTGTCCACAGAAATTAAGGGAAAAGGGTTTGGAGGGGGACAACCATCCAGACCCAGCAAACAGAAACACTCTGTCCCTTCTGTTTCTGTGAGTGAAAAGGCAAAAAACAAAACAAGATATTAAAAGAAAGAATTTTACTATAAGAAAACACCTAAGTCCAACCAAGCAACTATTGAACTAAAGAACACTCATTGTCTACAGGCAATAGTGTGTGATCATTGCTAAAACTAAAATAACCCTGAGAGGTTATTCCCCACCTTGTGGTCTGCACTTCTTATTTTCAGAATTTTGTTTTCCCTGACAGTACTTTTACCACCCATAACGTGTGTCAAACTGCATGTCTTTTGTCCCTCTTATTTGTGAATGAGTTTGTGTGTATTCTGGGTTTTAAAGGGGTATAGTTTAAGTCACATTGGAGTAGACCAGTAATCCATTCTTCTTTCTCTGCTGTCAGTTAGAGAATAAATGTGTTTATAATAAATTTAATAATTTTCCTGTTAATGATTTAACCTTTTGTGATGCTTTTATCCCAAATAGCAGCCAGTGAGGCAAATTACTTATTTTTATTGTTTAAATTGAGTGTTTATGATGGCTTGTGGAATATTGGAGTCCAGTTATTGACACACTCTTCCCAGTAACAAGGTGCTGAGGGAACTTTTTGGAGTGGATGTTGAAAAAATGTTTACCCTTGTGAGACAGTCTAGAATGAGGGGACACGATTTAAAATACTAGCTCTCAGATAAGACAGAGATGCAAAATTCTTTTTTCTCTCACAGCAAGTCGTAAGTCTGTGGAATTCTCTTCCCCAGAGAAGCAGTGGAGGCAGGGTTATTGAATATTTTTAAGACTGAGTTGAATAGAATTTTGATTGACAAGGGAGCCAAAGGGTAAGGGATAGACAGGATTGTAGACACTAGTCTTGGCCTTATGAAATTGTGGAACAGGGTCAAGAAGCTTATTTACCTACACCTGATTCATATGCTCCTATATTTTATTGAAAACAAAATTAAAATACTTAGTCTCATGATAAACTTAGACTTATGATTATTTTTGGTTTCAATGTATTTAAATTTATCTCTTAACACTTGTGCTGTTCTGATCCTCGATACGAGAAAATGCTTAATATTTCTTCATTGCCTGGGAGGGTGTTGGTAGAATGTAAGGATATCAGGTAACATTACTTTTTATGTCCTTTCAGTAGATGAGATTGAAAATGAACTCCAAGAGGAAGGATCTTAAACCTGAAGCATTCCAACTAACTTCTATTTCTCCAAAAATGTTGGCTGACTGGCCGAGCATTTCCAGCTTTTTATGTGTTTGTTTTAAAAGTTCCACTTGTTGTATTTTACTAATTGCTTTTAGGTAACATGGTTATCTTTTCAATCCACAGGGGGGTGCTGTTGTAATTATCAACAACAAAATTCTGCAAATGACCTCAATACATACTTTTTCAAAATTTGTGATTCATTGAAATATTTATTTAATTTTGAAAGTAGATGTGTTAGTAGATAAATGCAATCTGTACAAGTACCACAGATAAAAATTTGTTTACACATTGATTAATCCTATGTAAGGGTACAGTTTCATTTCAGTTACGAGATAAGACTTGTTAATCATTGTGGTGGTGTCCACATTAAGTTCACAATTGCTTAACGTGAACAGTCCTAAACTGTTAACTTTGCCCGATCTGTTTCAATTTTCCTTTTATCACTGTAACACATTTGGTTTGCTTTTACATCATAAAATTGTGTGCTGTTATTATTTTCTTGTTCTTTTGTTCGAACGCATAGGTGTGAGGTATGTTGATCTTCTGTTCAACTGAAACTAGATTGAGATTGCCCAAACTTGTTTCATGTAGCATTTTGGCAATCTTCAGAGCAGAACCTTTATCAGTCCAAACTGAATTAAGATTTGGATGCAGGAGGTAGAAGAACAGTATGCTCTATTATTGTAGTTTCATTGTAGTAACAAGAAGTAATTCACTGCACTACAAGCAGTTAGATAAAAGCTTGTAATTTATAATAAACATTGCCTATTGAATTCAGAAGATGCTAACAAAATGATGCTTACTTAAAGGCATATTCTATTATTGATACATTAAAAAATTGCAGCAGTCTGTGGGAAGAAAGAGACATGTTATGAATTACAAATCATCATCTATTTCTGAATGGTTCTGCTTTATTGTTGGTCTTGAAAAAATGGGATCTTGGTCTCAATCTCTCCATGAGTTTCAGGAAATTCCTACAAAGCCATTCAATCTTAGAAGACCAGAAAAAGAACAATTGTAAAAGTAGAATTTCATTCCTGTAGTAAGTCATTGTAAGAAGCTTTTTAAATTTAAAATTAAAATTTTGTTAACATTTCCTTTCTTGCTCCTTTCCTCTCTCCCTCAATCCATACTCTTTCTCCCTCTCTGTTTATTTTTCAGATGTAATTTGACACTAATTCATCCTTATTTTCTTTTCCATTCTACATCTGCAGCACATTTGGAAAATCATAATATAATCAAGCTGAATCAGCATGGCATAACAAGAGGGAAATTGTGTTTGACTAATTTATTTAGCTTTTCAAGGAAGTCTCAGCCAAAATAGCTGGTGGGGAACCAGTAGATATGTTGTATTTATACTTCCAGAAGGCATTCAACAAGGTTCCTCATAAAGGCTTAAGTCATAAGATAATAGCCTATGTTTTCAGAGGTAGTATATTAGCATGGGTAGAGAATTGGTTAGTGGGCAGGAAACAGCTAGTGGGAGTAAGGCGTTCTTTTCAGTTTGGCAACTGTAACCAGTGAGGTTCTACAGAGATCAGTGCTGGGACTGTAAATATTTACAATATATATTAATGACTTGGAGGAAGGAAACAAATATACTGTAGCCAAATTTGCAGACATAAAAATAGGTAGAAAGCTAATGTGAGAGGGACATAAACAGCTTACAGAGACATATTGATAGGTTAAGTACATGGGCAAAAAGTTAGCATATGGAGTATAATATGGAATGATGTGAATTTGTTCATTTCGGAAGAGAAACAGAAGAACAGTGTTATTTAAATGGAGAAAAACTTCAGAAAGCTGCAACACAAAGGCACTTGAGTGTATGTGTGCACGAATCACAGAAAGCTAGCACACAGGTGCAGCAGATAATCAGGAAGCTTAATGTAACTGTAGTGATTGTGATGAGGTCAGCCAGCTGGACATCTTTGAATATGAGTTCCCTGAATAGGAATCTGTTGTAATCAGGGGGCCCTGGCTGAAAGGTAAAGAGTGTCAGAGATTCTGGCAAGCTGATAGCTGACATTGAAGAGGCAGTATTAAAATCAAGGACTGTTCATGTATAAATAAAAGGTGACTTGGTGGCCTCTGTGGAGTTATTTTAGCAATGGCGACAGTAAAGAACACCCCTGAAGAAACTCGCTCGCAACAGTTGTCTTTGAGTTGGTGTAAACATTTCTTACATCATGCCTTTGTTTAGGAAGCTTGACTCATTTGACCCTGCCTCCGAGGACTGGGTCTAGTATATGGAAAGAATGCATTATTTTTAGCAGGCAAACAATATCATGGCAGATGAAAAGCAACGAATAATTCTCCCGACAGCCTGTGGAGCCACAGCCTTTTCTGTTATTAGGAGCCTGATTTCCCAGAGGCATCAGATACTAAAACTTTTCAAGAATTGATGGATATAGTGAAGGAATATTACAACCCCAAGCCTCCTCTGATTCTGAGATGCTATCATTTTTACTCAGTAATTTGAGAATCAGGGGAATCCGTGTCAGGATTTTTAACCAGGTTAAGATGACTGGCAGAAGCATGTGACTTTGGATTAACCTCTAATGAGATGCTTAGAAACCATTTCATATAAGGGATTAATGATGTAACTATGCAAAAATGCCTACCAATGAAGCCCAAGTGGACTGCAAACAGGCACTACAGCTGGCTTTATAATTAGAAAATGCAGCAAGTGGAGCATATCAGTTGCAGGGTTTTCCAATGGAAGTGGACACCCTTGCCAGTCTGACTGAGCTTGGGAAACACCGCTTGAGTGAAGCCAATTGCATAGCCTCACTTAGGACATATCCTTATCAAAGGAACTGTAGGTTAGCCCACAGCAAAACCCCAAAACAAAGCCAAGTCTCTGCCAAACGGTTAAAATTTTCTTCAGGATCCTGACCAGTAAACCATTGTAGTTGCTGCTGGCTTGTAGACCCAAGACAGTTAAAGAGTCCTACCAGACCTAAATTGAGTAAGATAACTCGTAGGCTGGTATCCACGAAGGCATCCAGGAGAGTTCATACCTTGGAAAGTCCATCAACATGTGGTTTGGAACAGTTGAATTGCTTTGAAACATTTAATCAGAACCAATCAAAATAAAT